AATACTTTTTACCCGCGACACGAAAAGGCTGAATTTAAATTTGTGGGATCACACGTGGGCGGGAGACATCCCCTAAATTTCCATCTCCTTAACCTTTGGAGTTCTCGAGTTGAAAAATGTCGACAAGCTGCATAAGACACACGCACACACAGACAGTCCCGCGACAATATGCGTTTTGTGCGGCTGTTGCACAGCACAAGGCGAATAAAAATTTTAAAGTGATATTTTTTGAAAACGAAAATCGAACTTGTCGTTTCCAATACAGGATCCGGCTGCCATCCGCAGTGAATTAAACAGCACCTTTTTATTTGAAGTTCAGCTTCCTTGGAAACTTCATTACGATTTTTATGTACACTCGTGTACCGTAAAATTCTTAAAGTATTTTTGTGTGTGCATTCGTGAATCAGCCGATCTCCTTAATGCGACGTCGAAATATAAAAGCTCAAAAGTAAGTTTTTCACACACAACTCACAACACACATACATACATAAACACACAGGGTCAAGATAATGCGCGTTTCGTGCTCAGTTGCAACACAAAACGCATGAAAATGCACGATAACTAGCAGTAAATTATCCCATAAGTGCTTGACCCTAGAGCCCATCAGAGGACGACCGCCACAGTCTCTTAAGTACCTAATCAAATGTGTGTACAAGAACTTTTTTAAGACAGCTGTCGAAATTTTTGTGGCTTTTTGCGGCTAACAAGAAAAAGTTTTATTCCGATTTATGATGTACCTGGCGCCTTTCCGTTATAAGTAAAGTTAATAATTTGCAAGACAGTTTCATTGATAACATACACTCGTCCCTTTACATCGGCATCAGACGGATCAGGCAGCTCACCGATATATACCCCATATTCTGGATCGTATGAATTTATGGTAAAGTTGAAATCGGCTTTTATTTCTGAAATACGATTTTTTTTTTTGAGAAGCACCCATGCTTGAAAATGATTTTAAAAAATCTCCTTGACTAAACGAGTTGAAAAACAACAAATTGCCACATAAAATAGCAATGATAACCTTGAAAAACTAGTAAAGTGGGTGTAAACAATTACTTAATACTGAAGACAAATACAGTTTTTTGAAAAAGTAACTAATTTCGAATAGTTTCGAAAAGAGATACCTGATAGTAAGGTTAACAGAAAAGCAAGCAGGCACAAATTAAACGTCGGTACCATAGTTCTGAAAAGAGCAATTCATAAGTAGGTGGCAAGCTTGTTAACCTCCCTCTCCATCCCTGAAGGACGGTGTAGGGGCTTAGGAAATACGATACGTACAAACTGAAGATGGCACAGCGAACGAAAAAAGAATGCAGTGTTTGGACAAGGTCAAGAGTGCTCCGAACACTGGTAATAGTGGACAAGACGCTGAAATGTTCACTTCTTGAAAATGCAATATTTCTGTAACAAGTCTTAAATTTCTTCTAAATTAAAAAGCAACTCATTAAAATTATAAAATCCACTTTACGTTTTCAGCATAACTTGTGAGGTGAAAACGACAAATCCACTGTCATTAATACTATTTACTAATATATCACTTATTATTATTATT